GTTCCTTCTTAAGCTCACGACATTTATGCAAATAGTGTTCTATATCACCGTTTTCCTTGCACTTCGGGCACAAGGGCGTCGCGGAGAGTCTGATCTTGTGGAGCCATGCTGGTGTACGCGCTGATCCCGTTCGGATGCGATGAAGCAAGCAGGCCTCTTCCCTTGATAGCCATTGTGTCACACATGGCTGGTGAGGCGTCAGCCATAACGAGTGAAAATGCTTATTGACAGCCTCTCGTAAGATACGCTGATGAAGTAGTCACAACATAAAAATTATGACATGTATCTCATGAATGTCATAGTTTACATTTCATGGTCCTGCAGCTCTTGCGGTGGTTTCGCTCACATGGCATGTTGCAAAACTGGCATGGTATGACATGATTGCATGCCGAACACAAGCGACCAACCCTAACATGACAATCATGACATGCGTGTCGTGTAACAACATGACTACATCCCACGCTCATGATGCCCTCGCGGCCGTTTCACTAACGTCACATATACCAAATTTGGTATTGCGGTACAAGAAAGGGCGACGAATGTATGCGAGAGGTGCAAATTTGATAACGATGAGATGCGTATCATGTAACGACATGACTACCGGCCACGCTCATGATGCACTCGCGGCCGTTTCGCGAGCTTCACATGTACAAAGTTCGGTATTACGTGACGCGAACGGACGACGTAGGCTAATGCACATCCAAACATGATAATTACGACATGCGTGTCATGTAACAACATGACTACATGCCACGCTCATGATGCGCTCGCGGCCGTTTCGCTAGCTTTTACGTGACGTCAATGGATGACGAAGGTATGTGACTGGTGCAAACATGATAATCATGAGTTGCGTGTCATGTGAGACCATGACTACAAGCCACAGTCAAAACGCCAATTGATTTTGACATGACCCGGCGCGCGTGCGCGCTGGCGTTTGTTTCGACGTGTCACACCGGCGTTGCAAAGCCAGGCGCCGGTCCTGCCAAATACTCGCAGGCGCGCGCCGCGCTGCATGCGTTGCTTTGACGCATGCGCGTTTCAGGGCGTCCGGTGTCCCACCGTCACGCAAAGAGACAGACGCACTGGTGTTTGGGTAACGCATCGGTGCGAAATGCAGCATGTCGCATTTCGTGCCGGTTGCCGTCATGCCGCACTATAGTGAGGCCGCGCCGACGGACGCTGGTCGCGCCGGTCGCGCCTGGCGTCAGAATATAGAATGCTCACGATTTGCTAACGTAGCGTCGCTGTGCCCAGCGTGCGGGAGTGTCAACGTTACGTTAGAGTAAGTTGGGCCCTTCAATATGCGCTCACGGCCATTTCACTAGCTCCATATATACCAAATTTGGTGTTTCGTGACGTGAATAGAGAACGAAGGTAAACGATACAATCAAACACGATAATCATGACACGGATGTCATGTACGGCATAATTTAACTCCACCTCGTAACGTTGTGCTGATTTCAAAGTGACATATGAACCTTCCGTGTTCATGCTTCGCATATCATCGATTCCCACTGCACGTGGGATCCTGCAATTTTTTTTTCGCGCTGTTAGCTAAGTCCTCTCGAGCCAAACATTTTCATTTATTAGCGTTGGAGAGAAGCAGAACTGAGCGTTTGTCTGACAGCTCTCCTTTCTCTGATAACGCAGCACTAGTAAATCATTCGACACTGTCACAAGCAGCTGCACAGCGTGCTGTGGCAGTAGAACAATTTTCAGCACTTTCGTTCTGGTGTAACTGCGTCAAAGTATGTGCACAGAGCACCAGTCGACGTATAGAGCCTGGCATCCGCTAGAAGTGGGGCTTGAAAAACTTCAAGAAGATGCGCTCGATCGTGTCCACGTCATATCCGCTGTCGATGTACACTGCCCCAGCCACAGACTGGAGAAAGTTGTGCAGGAAGCTGTTCTTTCTTTCACCTGCCGCTGCGGGCAAGGACACCTGCAAGAAGTGACCAATTTGCAGAAATTTAAAACACGTGATGTGTACTATATAAGTATTGTTTCAGCAGCGTTACGAGACGACCCGTGAATAACAATAACATTAAGATAACGGCGTAGAAGTCGATCGCACGCTGGGAAACGGGGGAATACCCGCAGTTGTGGACGAAGCCTGGCCCGAAAATGGCGGCGCGTTGGCGCTAAAGCCTTTCGCTGATCGGCACGTGTATGAATTAATCCTTTCAGCGCTCGATGTTTTGTTTTAGTCAGATAAACTTCTTGTGCCTGTTTTTTTTTCATAGTTAGGACCACAGAAGACCACAAACGAAAATTTGAGCCAGTAGAGCGTGCATCTTTGCATTAATTAAAACGGCGTCCAATTAGGTCGTCGGGGCTCAGTGATGGTAAAATCAGAAAAAAATGGCTTCTTTATTACTCCCAATCATTATTGTACACAAAATGAAAACCAATGTCGTACTCGTCAACTTAATAATCATTGAAACAGCGTCGACGTCCCAAAAATGGCGCTTATACCCTCCTCACCTTACGCGTATCGGCTTCACCGAAGACTTCGCTCGCGATTCTTGTTTGTTGCTGCTACCTCTCCAACGGTGCCGCAATATTGATGTGAATTTCCGCTGGGAAGAACTATTTCCACAAAAAAGAGCAGTATTGATTACATTTCCGAGACACTAAAAGAAATGTGCGGTGGTGTCAATTGACACCGCCAGGGCCGAAAGGGTTAAAAATAGCGAATGTACGCTCTGTTTTATTGAGTATATGCACTGTTTTAATGCGGTAAGGAATATCTTCTATGGTAACATCGCTTGCGATAACGCCATGGAGAGAGGTACGTCGATAAGAAAACGCGTCTACTTGTTGGGGTATGACTATGGTCGAAGCGCTCTGCTCACTGTCAAGGGTAGTCTGTCGAGGATATCGCCGTCTCACCTGTAATCTCGCATCGTGCGCGTACTCTGTCATGGACGTCTTCTCGGGGCCTTCGTCGAGGAAGACGTACTGGTCAAGGCCGTTGAGAGCGGCCACACGTGCCAGCGTCTCGTGTCGGAGCAGCCGCGTCTTGGCGTCGTGCAGTTCCTGGTTGCTCTTGAGCGTGCCGTTCTTCACCATGCCTCTTTGGAGAGAAATACCGAAACCAGGCAAAAAAAAGTCAGGTTGCATTCAGAGACATTGCTTGAATAAGTATTGCTTGCCCACGTATGTGTGTGTGTGTGTGTGTGTGTGTGTGTGTGTGTGTGTGTGTGCGTGTGTGTGCATGCATGCATATATGTATGTATGCATGCATGTATACGCAGGTATGTATGCATGTATACGCAGCATGTATACGCATGCATGTATACGCAGGTATACGCAGGTTCACAGGTATGCATGCAGGTCACGCAGGTATACCCGTGACCCGCAGGTCAAGGTATCAAATCCCGGCTGTGGCGGCTGAATTTTCGATGGAGGCAAGAAAGTTGTAGGCCCGTGTGCTCAGAATTGGGTGCACGTTAAAGAAATCGTCCAAATTTCCGGAGCTCTCCACTACGGCGTCTTTTATAATCATATGGTAGTTTGGAACGTTAAACTCCACATATCAATTAGTCATGATCTCTACGTTAGGGTTTGTCACTTATGTTCGCCATGCAGTCATGTCATACCATAACAGTTTTGCAACATATTATGTGAACGAAATCACTGCTGGAGCAGCAAGACTATTTCATTTCATTTCATTTTTATTTCCTTAAGGACCAAACTGGGGGTTATTACATAAGGTGTGGATACACAGGAAAAGAGAACATTTGAACACGTTAATTTTCGCAGCACAGGTGATTTGTAACATTTGTCGCGAAGGATGATGGGCAGGTGGTTGAAACAATGGAGCAGGGAAGGCCGTTCCAATCCTTGACGGCACGGGGAAAAAAAGAATAAGCATTGCATACTTAAGTATTGCATGAAATGTAAATCATGATATTCATGACATACATGTCATTATTTTTATGTCTGTACGAGTCACTTATGCTCGTCATACAGTCACGTTGTGCCATACCAATTTTGCTATTGATACCATTATCGAGACAACCAGGAGAGCTAGAAGTCGTAGGCGGATAGATTGATAGACAAGCTGAAAGTCGCCGAAGGTCGCTAAGAAATGCTTCGCATTAGAAACCTGCTGCGGGTGCACGATAGTTTAAGTTTAGCGCGACTGTACATGCGTTTCGTCTGTCCGCCCACGTCTGCTGTCTCCCTTCGTTCCAAGAGCGCTGATCTCATTTCCAGACCCCACAGGCTCTAACGTGCCAAAACTACGACCCAATCATGAAGCGGATCACATTTATTGCCAGTGCGGGAAAGGGCGTCTGTGTGCCATAAACGTTCAAACAATTGGCTTATCTTAGCCGTTTCTGAAGCGAGTGGCCGCACAAACCAGAGTGTGACAAACGCTAACTTGAAGACTCAGACGTCATTCAGCCTGTGAGGTGCACGAAAAAAAAAAGTGCGTGTTCTTATAGGTGCAAAAAAGTGAAACGACAACGTATGAAATAAAATAAACATAAATATAGCAGTAGTGTGTGCTGCCTCCCCATTCACGCAGCTTGATGCAGATAATGGACTATTGCCCTATCAGGATAATAGGACAATATAATAGAGTAAGGTGCGCCTATCGCGGTGGTATAGGGGCTAAAGTACTCGGCTGCTGACCCGCAGGTCACGGGATCGAATCACTTACCGATGGAGGCGAAAATACTGTAGGCCCGTGTGCTCAGATTTGGGCGCACGTTAAAGAACCCCAGACGGTCGAAATTTTCGGAGCTCTCTACTACGGCGTCTATCATAATCATATCGTGGTTTTGGGACGTTAAACCCCTCATATCAATCCATGAAGTCAGACTATGGTAAATTTTTTGTTGGCTAGTCACGTGCGAAGACATTCACGGGGAGTGTGCAGTTCTTGCTGTAACGCTTTTGTTATATTCAGGGCGTTCCCATTCTTATCACACACCCGCGTGCCAGAAAAGAAGCCGGCGCCGCTACGAGCCATCGACCCATGTTTCGAATATATGTTTTCTTAAAAAAAAATATTTGGTTTGATGAGATAAGAATTGACTCGCTGTAACAATCACGTCACAATCCAACAGCCGAAACACGTCATCTATGATCAGTGGGTCCTCCTCCTCCCCCTCCTCCTCCCCCCTCCTCCTCCTCCTCCTCCTCCTCCTCCTCCTCCTTCTCCTCACCCTCCTCCTCATCATCATCATCAGAGCGATCATCCTCATCATCAGCCACTTTTATAATCACTGCAGGACGAATGCCTCTCCCGCTGATAACAAATCAAATCAAATCAAATAATTTTATTTCCCAGAAAGAAACAGGTTCTGGAGAGGTTCACTGGCTAAAAGCTGTTTATGGACAGCTTGACGAGGCCAGTGAACCTTAAAAAACAATGTTCGCCATGCACACCAGCACACGAATCAGCACACGAATTTATTACCTATGAAACATCAAAATTTCTCAATTATGTCACTACATCCATCGAACCCTTCCTCTCCTACGGTCACGCTTCCCATCTTATCACATCCATTCCGATGTTCTTGTTGACCATATGTTTGTCTTTATTTCTCACGACGTGACCTGACAAAGTCAATTTTTCACCGTGCCATATTTACACTTTAAGAAATGATCGAGTAAAAAAAGGTGTATTTTTCGCATTCGTCTTTCTTCTCGTCCCTTATTCGTCGTTCTGTATGTGTTGTGGAGCGGAGTTTTCCTCTGTGGACGTGCCGCGCCATCTAGCAGAGCCGACGCGATATCAAACGCGTGGCGCGCGTCTGAGAAAAGACAAATTGCGTAGTCCCGATTCGGCTATGTTTCGGAGCGGAGGTCCATGTTTTACGGGAAGCCGACCCAGCAGGATTCGGATGGGAAATTAAGGGGTGAGAGGTGGGCGGGGACACTTGGCAGGCGCGAAAGAAAAAAGAAAGAATCCGTGAAGGGCTTTAATGTCCAAAAATGGAATGAAAAGTATGTTCATTTCCCGCATGACTACCACAGAGTAGCAAATTACGCACATCGTTCCAAAGTGAAAACACCATTTCAGATCAAAACTGCTATGTTGGTTTTCACATAGGAAGTAACAAGGGAAGGAGAGCATAGGGGAAAGGGGGGTAGCATTTTGATATCGTGGCGGGGACCGCTTAAAACTGCCCCACGGGCCGCAGGTTTCCGCATTCTCCTGTAGATGACTCATTGTTTGGATCACTATTAAATTCAGACAAAGCGGCTGTTATAAAAGCGGATAACAGGCCTAAGTAGAAGTAGGCCAACAGGTGGGTTGCATCCTTCAGCCAGTTGCATCCTTCAGCCAGTATTAGCAGACGCTAACCACATACAGAAATCTGACAACCTGACCGACATTAATTAGCGTTAACCAGTGCATGCATGCGAGGTCCTGGTCAGAAATTGCCATTGTCGCCGTCGTACCTGATCACGGAAAGTCATAGTCGTGGCCGTCCGTAAGGGGTGGGGTAAGAGGGGGTGGCTGCTCGCTCGGATTTGTAGATATTTTTCCATACAATAGCAATAGGCTGTGCAGCTTGATTAGGGCACTCAGTCCCCACATATCAACGTGCAGTATTCTTCAGATATCCAGCTGAATTCACACTTTACACACTATACTGACTAATCTTGCTGGTCACCGTCTCGGAAGGAAAACAAATGTAGTTTACTAGAACGTGTTGTTGGGCTAGTTGGTTCATTGTGAAGAAATAGGACGCTACCCACACGGACGAAAATCATGTGTCCTTTCTTTTTTCATCTAAGTGGGTTGCGTCCTTAAGGTTTCTTCAGCAAAAGAAATGCTGCTTGTTTCTAGATGACTCCCCCGCCCCCCTCTCTATGCGGATGCACCCCCTTGGAAAAGTGCGTGTTTAGAAAAAAAAATCGGCGATTTAGAGTACAATGTACTCTACTATGAGAAAACACTGAGCTGTCCCAAGATGCCTGTTCAGCGATTTATATGCCTCGAAAGTTAATCCAAGACACGTATTTTTTTTTCTGCGGACGTCCATGGTCATAGTCATGTTTCATGTAAGTGCATGTGTGGTTTTCTGTGAAACCACACATGCACTTACAGTGTGGTTTTCTGTGAAACAATTGATCTGCTAGGTTTTGTTTAGTCGTATCATAGATTCATAACATAGTCTTTGTGTCCATTTAAACTGCACTAGTGTGTGTTTGGTATTCCCAATAATGCTGAAGGTGAAAAGTCATGTGGATGCCTAATTGCAGAATCAAATAGCTACAATGATTGACTGCGATGACATGGCTATTGTTGATGAAAATGGGGTGGACGAGTTCCGGCGATCCCTGATGCCAAGTGAAGACGGCAAACTTTGGTCCTGTTATGACTATCCTGTAGGTAATGTTCATAACACGCTGATATTTTTGAAACATCTTCCGACTTACTCGTTACCATTGTTACAAAATTCTTAGAATAAGATAGGGTCATGTCGTCAGCGCAAAGGTGAATCTTTAACAATATTAACTATACGAAAGGCGAGGGACCAATTATGGAACTCTGTGGTACAGCCACCGTATATACTCGTGTTACATCCTCGCCCGCGTAAAAGCCGACCCCCGAACTTTGCTAAATGTTCTCCCCAAAAATGTAGTACGAAAATTACTCGTGATTAGCCATACCCTTGATTTTTCATAAGTTCAGCAGCGCTATCGGTTGTGTGCTCCGAGGATCCCGAAGCTTTTTCTTTTTTTCCGGACACACGACCGGGTAATCGGAAGATTGAAAACAATCAAATGTGCGGCCGACAATGGTTCGCATCAGGAGGCGAATTCACCAAATATTAATGCATCTTAGCTTAGGGCTGAAAATTCCTGACGGAGGGGCGGAGTTAGGCAGTCTTTTTTGTTTCTCTTCGTTTTTTTTTCTTTCCTTCTCTTTTTGTTGCCTCTGCTCTGTTCTCGTTTTTTCCGCCTCCACCCCCCCCCTTTTATTTCTAATGATTCCTTCTTCTCTGGTTATCTATTTCTTCCTTTTTTCTCGCTCTTTCTATTTTACAGCGAAAGCTGTTAGGAGATCACAACACGGGTCACGCGCGGCGCCGTATAGTTGTCCGCCGCTGCTGCCGCCGTGGTCCGTAACCATCGCCCAAAATAAGAAAATAGGAACTCAGACAGCAAACACCACAGACATCTGGTTACGTAGTAGAATTTGAACCCGGATCCACTGCATGACAGCCCAGTATGCTACCGCTGAGCCACGTCGGTGCTTGGGTTTCGATCGAAAACTTGCCTTAGGCAGGCTTGATGTCGGGACAGGAATCACGTTATTATGAGTAATAAAGCGTTTTAGAAATGCAAAGGCACAACCAGGAGTCACACACTGAAAATCCCGTAACGAGTTCAACACATTTAAAAAAACAAAGTTACCACACAGTTTCAACACAGTAACAACACAGTAACAACACAGTAACTACACAGTAACAACACAGTAACAACACAGTAACAACACAGTAACAACACAGTTACAACACAGTTACAACGCAATTAAAAACAATGATGACGCATTTTTTGCCCATCCCCTGAGGCGTGCGCTTACCGTAATATGACAAACTCGAGTGCAAACTGTCCCACGTAGTCCAGCGGCCGGTACGTGACGCTGGAACCGATGCGGCGTGACTTGGATGGGTGAAGCAGGGCGCGCAGGAGGAGGTCACGATCACGGAACGAGTACGACGACAGCTTCTCGTCCACCAGACGCTGGGGGAAGCGAAGGGATGACTTGGCAGCTGCATCCAAGCCTGAACAAATAACGCAGGCAAGGCATTCATTGATCGAGAACTTGCATTAGAGTATTCTGTAAAGAGGTTTTACTGCCGTACTTACGTGCTCACAGTACGGCCTGCTGTAATTTTGGTGCACTTCTGGAGCATTCCTGGAGCACTGCTGGAGCACTTTTAATGTACTCGCATGCCACCAGAATTTGTGAGCGACCCAATTGGTTATAATTAGAAAGATTTATTTCAGAATTCAAATAGCGTTTCTTTTCCTCCCGTTATTTAGCCAGCCCGACTGTGTACCCACCATGTTAGTCCAGCGGTTATTGTGCTAGGCTGCTGACTCGCAGGTCGCGGGATCGAATCCCGGCAGCGGCAGCTTCATTTTCGATGGACGTGGAAATGAAGGAGGCCCATGTGCTTATATTTGGGTGCCCGTTAATGAACTCAAGGTGGTCGAAATTCCCGAAGCCCTCCACTAAGGCATCCCTCGTAATAATATCGTTACAGCATATGTGACGAGATGCTTTTATTTACAGGTGATGGACGATGGTTTTTGTTGCGAACAGCGCCCTTGCATGATGTTCCTTCTTCTCTTCTTCTGCTCTGTCTTTCGCATGTGCGTTACGTTCCCCCGGAAGCAGGCGAAGTCCGTAGGGTGAGTGAGGATTACCGCGGTGGGTAGACAGGTTTGAGGCGAGCAACATGAGTCCGCTGAGTTCTGACCAATCGCCGACCGTTGGACAGGAGACGAACTATTACGTATACGTGGTAAGTTGGCTGAGACGGTCCACAACATCGAATGGGCCTGAATATTGTGACAGGAGCCTCTGACACAGTCCACGCTTGCATTGTGATGTCCAGAGCAATACGAAATTGTCTTTTAGGGGCGAAGCTCCTTAGGGCGTGGGCTGTGCGTCCCCTGTAGCCTGTATGTAGCCACCTCTAGTTTAGTTCTTGCAGTGTTCACTAGATGGCGGTACCGTCCCCTGTATGTAGCCACCTCTAGTTTAGTTCTTGCAGTGTTCACTAGATGGCGGTACCGTCCCCTGTATGTAGCCACCTCTCGTTTAGTTCTTGTAGTGTTTACTAGATGGTGGTACTTGTAGCTGATGATGAAAAGATGCAAGATGTTATAAACTAGAAAGCGGTACTTGTAGTTGATGAAAGACGCGAGATCTTATAAAATAGGAATGATGTCACATATGGCGCGTGTCATTGGTTGAAGGCAATCGTTCGATTTAGTGCGGCGACGTACGCTAGGGGGAGCGATGTAATAAAATCGAGTGGGCAAAATGTACAGAGGATTCATGGTTTACCAGGTTTACCTCCGGAGCTTCGCCCACTCATCATCATTCACTTCGTGGATATGGCGGAATTTTTTTTTTTTCGAATGATACTGGTTCGTGATGGTCGTCGCATCTCTCCTTCGAACCACTTTGTGAGGTGAGAGTCCGAAGAGGAGCTATTCGACGGGCTTCTTCCACGAGGCACGAAGTTTTCGATACGGAATCATCCTTGTGCAGAATAAAAGGAAAGAAAGTGTGCAGGGGGCTCGGCGGTAACCTTGCGTTCAGGAGGCAAAGTGGGCTAAAGTCCATTGTTTCATGCTTAGCCGTGTTGTACACGTAAGTGATAAACGGCAACACGGCATCCCAGTTCTTATAATTGGAGGAAACGTACATGGCAAGCATGTCGGTCAGCGTTCTGTTTATCCGTTCAACAAGGCAATTTGTCCATGGTTGATACGGTGTAGAGTGACGGAACTGTGAAGTGCACAGTCGAAATAATTCGTCAACGTCATCAGCGGTAAACTGGCGGCCATGGTCACTGATCCGATACAATATCATTGTTTTGGGACATTAAGCCTAAGGAATAATTAATATAGCATGACTGGTTGTCGTATGAGCAAACAACCTAGCTTACATTATGACGTCACACCCAAAACGCACACGCCAGCGACGTAATGTAACTGCGGATGAGCACACACATGCACACAAATGAGCACGCGCAAGTGATGTGCACAGGGAGCTGCGGCTCCACCAGTGCATGCAGACACGACACTTATTCCTTTCCTATGAGTTTACTACACGTGTTTAACAGTATAAAGAAAAAGAAAGAAAGAAACGAAGAAAGAGAAGGAAGAAAGTAACTGGTCTATTTAATAGCAAGGAGAGTATAGGCCGACTTGCTCAGGCATCAGTGCATGTGCAGGAAATTCTTATTTTACGAAAAAAAAGGTGTCGCTAGAAGTACACGACATGTACAGTGCACGATATTGACGAAAAACAATTAGTTCAAACAAAAAGTCATTGAAGCTAAGGTTATTGGGCATGGCCTGCTTGGAGGAAAATATAAAGTAAGGCAACTTTTTTTTTAGAAAATAGCATTCAAAATGACCCAAGCTTGTGAAACGCTTGCGACATATAGTTAAATTTGTGTTTATTTTGTCCTGTCCCGTTCACACCCCATCGCCGTATTTTCGATGAAGGTAAACATAAATGAGGCAATCGCACAAGCTACAGTAGTCATCGGTCCCATTACCTTATTCATTGAATACTATATTTTGTAAAAAAGGAAACCTCTTTGCTTTTGTTTTGCGAGTTTGATACAATATTAATATGGGGGGGGGAGGGGTTCACAGGCTAAATATATGATATGATTACGGGACGTAGTCGAGGGCTTTGACAATTTCGACCATCTGCGGTTCTTTGACGTTGCACCGACATCGCACAGTACCTGGGACAGAGCTCCAGCACCTAATCTCCATCGAAAGATGACCGCCGCTGCCGGGGAACCAATCTATGGGCTTCAGGTTAGTAGCCGGGCACCGTGACTATCTTTTACCACTGAGACGGACATTTCATTGGCTTCGGTAGCCATAACCTCTCTGAAAACGACTTCGTTTGTCTTGCACGAAAATGCAAGCAATTAAGTTTAGTTTCAGTATATCGTATTCCTGGAATACGTCATCCTTATGAAGTATTGTTGCTTACCCGGAAAAGATAAAAAAAAAACACTTGCGTTTACGTGAACACCGCATACACAGCTCACGACATTTAGTAAATGTAGTCATGCGCCTACACCTTTGGACAAAAAGAGATAATTTCTCAGTTGCTAAACAAAAGAAAAAAAGGAGAAGGAGAAACGAGCTGAAGAAGAAGTTGTGGGCAAATGACAGTGGCGACCAAAATGAATGAAGCCGAAATGCGGAATCACTTGTTGGCCAAAATTTGTTTGCCCTCTAGAATATCCTGGGCTAATAAATGGTATGCGCACATTTCTAACATTACTTGGGTTGCTCTGCGCAAGCTCTTTTATCTTCGCAGATGCCTTCGGGTGGCCCCTCACTCAACCAAGCTTTTAGCCGATACTACTTACGTAAGACCGGTATTAGAATATGCTAACACAGTATGGTTTCCTTATACAGTCACTAACATTCAAAAGCTAGAAAATGTACAGAGGAAGGCAGCAAGATTCATCTGCAACAAATATAAGCGCCATGATTCTCCTACAAATATGTTAGCAAGCTCTGGCCTCCAAACTCTTGCGATTCGAGCAAAACAAGCGCGCCTTAAATTTCTTTTTCAGCTACTTCACAACCATTATAAAATTGACCCATCATTGTACATCCGTCCGTCAGACTCCCGTGTTTATTAGGCACAAACATTCACACACTGAAAGAGTACTCTTACCGCAGTGACACGTTCAAGCACTCCTTTTTTCCACTTGCCATAAGGGAATGGAACCGTTTGGATTTCTCCATAACTAGTGCGAAATCGGTATGCGACTTTGCACTAAAATTAGAAAATATGTTCTCTTAACGCGGCAATACTCGCATTACCAGAAGCATTGCGCCACCAGTGAAAGCGTATTAGTGGAGTGTACAAGTGTTAACTGGAGTGTTTGGAAGTTTGCTATTTGTTTGCCTGTGTACCACTGCACTTCATGCAAAATTTCTCTTCTTTTTGGGGATGGTTTCTTTGTCTTTGCAGATGTAAACAATTCGTATATTTTTCGCTCTTATACTTTGTGATGACTGTCATTTCACTACATTCTTGTTTCTGTTTTCTGCGCTGTTAATGTACCACTTGCATGTACAATCTGTACGCCCACCTGCTATGGTCTCGGAATGAGACTGGCAGTATTGAAAATAAATAAAAGTTCAACCTTAAAGGAGCCCTGCAACACTTTTTAGTATGGTCAGAAAACACTTCCGATCGGCAGTAGAGGCTCCCGATAACACGTGAGCCAAATATTGTAGCGCAGCACGGGGCCCGCCATTCGCAATAAATGAGCAAAGTCAGCTAAAAATGGCTTTCTCTTCTCTCGACAAATCACGGAATAAGCCAAAAAATCACTCATAGTAAAGCCATCTATCAGCCATTGGCTGATTTGAACATGGAGTGCTCAGTCGTTAAAGATATTACCACGGAAGCCCCTGACTTGTCCACGCACGCACGCGCCATCACACCTAAAAAGCAGTGAATTCGAAGAAAAAAAAAGAAAAACTGCTCAAGGTCACAAGGTGCGCGTGAAGATTTTCTTCGCGCCTGCCATCCCTCCCTGCTTAGCTTCCAGTGCTTTCATCGGAACGAGAGAAGAAAGAATGCAATTGCAGCATGCGACGAATCCTTGTAACTCCGCTCGCACTGGACAGATTTTAAAATTTTTGCGCCGTTTAATTTGTGAGGCAATAAGCTCTTCCAGAGAGTTCATTCCGTGGCTACTTGAAAAAAGTGTGTCAGGGCCCCTTTAACTGTCTACGCTGATATTAAACTTATGATGGTGAAAGATATGGCATTAGAGTTCTCAGAGTGCAGTTTGTAAATCTAAACCAAGTCATCATTTCTCTTTTGTGTTCCTTTAAGGGACCGCCCTGTCGTCTCATGTCTCGCCTTGTAGTTGCTCACGTTTGATGTAGATAAGCTGAGCACGGTGCTTGTTTGGAATGACAGCACTTGGTTGCCTGGAAACGCCAGCGCCGACGGGCTATTTTCGTCAGCACGGGCCATGACGGAAAGAAAAAGAAAATAGGGATCATGACGTCACGCAGCTAGTCTTAGCAAGCGAATCTGGTTTGAAGCCAGCAACGTCGGTATAACGCGTCACCTTTCGCGTCAGGATCACGCAAGGAACGGTACTTCCCGAGACTTCGGGGTATGGCATTCCGTAGCCCTTGTCAAAGCGCACTTGTACGGCGCAGACCAAGCGGCTCACGTAAGAGGTTCAAAAACGGAACTACACCGAGAGTACTAAAACCTACCACACGCTCTGACGTTTTGATCACGTGTTGGGCCGACACGGTGGGTTTCACTGGCGCGACGTAATGCTCCCTCCTTGAATTTTTCTTCCTCCGTGGTACGAGCCCACAAAGCGGTAGAGAAACGCCAGCCGCGAGTAGCGAGTAAAGACACATATCAACGGGAGAGAGAAGCGGAGGCGAGACGCCGGTGCCGGGAGCACGGGGAAGCCAGCAAGACACCGTGAGGTAAAGTATGGCAGCTGCGACGCAGTAGACACCGCAGATGTCGTCACCCTGAATGGAAGGAAACATAAAGGTACCGTAGTACCCTATGGTCCACTACGGTCCATTAAAGTCCCTTGATATCGAGAAAGTAGTGACACTCTCCCCCATATCCTCTCCAAAGAGTCCAACTTTCCTCTTCCAAGTGTCCAAACCTTATTTACATCCTCTCCCAAACAGCTGCCACGCAGGATCCGGCCGTATAACTCGGCTCGCACCACTGAGTCTCTCGGTTGATTTCAAGCCGAATGGCTGTGCTGTCTACGATCTCAGAGGCCAGCGCAGCTCTCACCGATCGGCCCACCATCCGCGATCTCGTGACGCCGTGCAGCTCTCGCCGATTGGTGCCCCGTGCTCGGAATCCTTCGACCGTGTCCCCATCTTTCCCATCTCTTCTCTCCTCTTTCTTCACTGGTGTGTGGCGAGTGCTTCGTCATCTATATCTTTCTACTATTCTTTTTTTTATCTCCCTACTCGATTCCCTACAAGAAGTTTAAGCATGTCGCCTGCAACGCAGACAGAAATTAGCTCCTTTTCCCCCCTCTTTCAAGAACGACTAATTACTACTTGAAGATGAGCCGGCAAATAAACAAAATGTTCGCACGTTTTGTTTAATGCGTAGAAAGTGCATGTAGGTTAGAAGCGGGGTGGACAGTTTGTTACTTTTTCTTCTTTTTTTTGCAAGGTAAACGGGTGCGCGTTAGCATTTTGCTTTTAGCTGTTTTTGCTTTTGGGGTGCGCGAATTCAGTGCGTGTCAGGGGGCGCGTTGTATTGGCGTAAATACAATGAGTTTCCCGTGACGTTAAGCCACTGTCATATTACTCTAGTTCTTTATGGCATATGACATGCCAGAACATAATAGAATGACCTTACCCTTTGTCTTCGCTGTGGCACTGTCCAACCAGGCTTTGTGAAAGCTACTATCTTTAATGAGCTAGGAGTTGCGGATGACAGCGACGATCTGCGATGGGAATCAATCAATCAATCAATCAATCAATCAATCAATCAATCAATCAATCATTACGCTAAAGTGTTGTTTATTCCCGTTCACACTAGCGGAATAGAACCAACTGGATGATACTATTTCTAACATGTAATGGCCATCAGAGTTTTTCACAAATAATAAAAAAGTGAGTCTCTAAGAGCAGTCACGTAAACAGGGTCACCTGCACAGATTTCGAAGTATGTTCACCTAAAAGATATAAAATTTTCAAACTTTGGTGCTTAAGGCATTTTGATCCTATGGTATAATGTTTAGGGCACTTGAAAGAGAAACTTTCTGGCGTTTTTCATTTGTTCCTTTCCATAACTGTATTATCGTGATGGTCCTTGGCGGTTTCTCGTAAAGCTTCATGTTTCTACTGTGGAGCTATGTATGCGTATGGAATTGTGAGATTTTATTTGATTTATATGTGAGGTTTGACGTCTCAAAACCACCATATGCTTATGAAAGACGCCGTAGTGGAGAGTTTCGAAAATTTCAACCACCTGGGGTTCTTTAATGTGCACCCAAGTTTAAGCACATGGGCCTAGAGTATTTCTGCCTCCATCCAAAAGGCAGCTGCCACGATTTTGGGATTTTAGGTCATCCAAGGAATAGCTCAGGAACAATTGTGTTTGAAAACATTTTGAAGCAATTCAGAGAAACGAAGAGGATCCTCCATGCAGTGGCAGAAGAGTCTAGTGCATTAGAGCGGAAAAACTGTTACCGGTACAGCATCAACTGCATGGCTTTTACGACGAGGACAAGTTTGATTTGCCACGGAAAGCACACGAAGAAAAGATAGTTGACGAAAACATTGTCTTGCTCTAGCAACAGTCCACCGTGACGTCACAAATTTCGATGACATCTGCTGGTTTCTCTTTAATCTAGTCTACGTGATGTAGCTTACCAATATAGTAAGATGGCAATACAACAATTCGGGATGTTTGTAGCATGTGTGCAAGCCGTTACAACGGTCGTCAGGATTTTTCTTGTATGGGTAGCTCACACGTGACGACAGTCGCAGCTTCATAATGCACTGGTTCATAAACATGGCGGCCTTGATGAAGCAAAGATAGAATTATCACGTCGTTTTAAATTGCTTCAATTACATAACGACGCGGCCAGAATTTCATTGGCATCTGAGCGTCGATAACAAGCGAACTAGCAAGTCATGTTATGATAACGTTAACACGGGCTGTTCATAACCTTGTATGTGCCATGGGTGCACCAACACGTCGGGTTCAGTGACGTCAGTGCACGTCATCCATGGGCGAAAAGATAATCTAGTCTATCAGAGGTTGATGTGTTCATAGAACACACAGCGTGTTCCGAACCACTGTGCTTCAACCACAAACAGCTTCCACAGAGCGGGGCATGCCTACGAACCCAACGACGTCCGCATCCATTGCTGCGCCGGTGAAGAGGATGTCCGCGTCGTCGGCCACGATCAGAGCCAGATCGCTCAACTCCAGCGAGCGGCTTTGCAGAGCCCGAGCCAGAGCAGCGCCGGTGGTCAGCGTGACGTTCTTACTGGACAGCGAATGGCGGCTCAGCGAGTCCAAAGCACGACCAACCAGGAGCGACCGGTAGGTACTCTTGAAGTAATTCTCGTACTGGTGAGCCATGGACCCTGTGAATTTTCCATATTAATGCGTCTGCTGCATCTCCATTGGGAAATAATGCAATGAAGTGGGCATAGATGTTCTCAGGGTTTCCAATTAGGGGGGGGGGGGGGTACCCTTTTTTGGTGTTGGACACCAGAGGACAAGCTTCACTTTGAAAAAAAAATTAAGTGTTCACTTAAGGACTCGGTTCCTTTGTTAGACACAATAATAATGAGAACTAACAGACAAAAATCTCAGGGAAAGTATATGTGGATGTAACAAGTAATTGTAATGTAAATCTGAACAAAGATAAGTGACCAAATGATAACTTGCCACCAGTATGATAAGAACCGGCGACCTTCAAATAACGCGTACAATGCTCTACCACTGAGCTACGATGAGGGTCCTACTCTATATACTATGTTCACTTAAACAAGGGAGTGTCAGTCAGTGCCATCTGTTGCTTTTACGGCGAGTGTGGAACGCCTTTTTGCCTGTTCGGCGTCACGAGTATGTGATGTTATTTAGAGGTGCCATGCATTATTGTTTGTTCTCACTAAAATTGTGTCTAACAACGAATAAAAAAATGACGAAAGTGGAGCGATGATACATTCGTGACACGCTATGTCTTCGGTTCCTGAATTACAACAGTTTTCGCAATTCAATACCAAACACTACTGACCGCCATTACCTTCATCAACATTATGGGTCGCTATAAGCGCGATCTTTTCAATTACGGGAGAAAACCTCTTGAGCAAACGTACAGGCAGACCTTGGGCCCCACTTAGGAGACTGAGGGAGGGAGTATTGCGACCTCTCTCTCCCACGTGAGCACTCCTATGAATGTGGGCAATACAAACCACTACCTGTGAGACAACCACCTATAGCCCTGTTGGCGCGTTTGCCCTTAGAGGAGGAACCTTATGAACACCACGGAGGGAAAATTCAGCTGCTCCCGTTTGGCGTACACTGATGAAACCTGATGGTGGCATGCAGTGGAGTTGAATTAAGTGGAATTGTGTAGGAATGAAATTGGAATGACGTGTCATAAAGTGGGTGACCGAAGTGTGGGGAGTGGCGGAAGCACTATAGTGGGAGTAATGGTGAGCTGTGGTAGCTGTGAGAATAGGACAAAAAACCCCGAGGAGCTCAATAAGGCTCATGAAATACATCTTGCGCTTTGGACTCACTCTGACACTGACTCACCAAAATTTTCCTCTTCCAGATTCCGCACGCTTTACACGCGTCCGTCGGGTATAGGTGGGGATAACACAGGCGTAGGATCACCGGGCTGAGGTACGTATTAGTTTGTAATGACCTCAGAGTTACGGCCTGCTTTTTGTCCAATCTGTTACACTGGAGCACATGCTTTGGGAGTGCGCTGAAAAAGTTAACGTCACTGCCGCCACTCCCTTCGGGACGCATGTTAGGCAGGGACGAAATCCGAGGCCAATTGCAGCTGCCACCACCGCGCGAGGGCAGGGGCCCGCCTCCGCCGCGGCTGTGGTCACTGTTGCCGATGGATGACGTCAGCTGCGCTGCCACTGGGAGGCGGCACTCACCAGCGACGAGCTGGCCGACCAGCTTTGGGCCGTCCGGCAAGCTGAAGATGCCGCCCGGGTACAAAAACTTCAAGTGATCACCTGAGGCACCGCCATCATAATCAACGGAGAGTGGAAAGGGACAGTGGTTAATCCCCTCGCCTGGTAAAACTGCCGGACTCTAAATGAAGTCTATTCATTCATTCATTCATTCATTCATTCATTCATTCATTCATTCATTCATTCATTCATTCATTCATTCATTCATACCAGACTCACTCGTACTGAAACACGGGTCTCGAGTCTGAGTCTGAGTGAATCCGAGCGAATCTACTCATTAGTCTTTTAGCCTAGAATTAGCTTTCTCGACAAAACTGTCAAACCTATTCAACACCAATATCTCACGTCATCAGTGTTGCTCTTGGCGCCATTTAGCATATTGAGTTGTGGAAGTAATACAATCGAGGTTGGAAGAGTGGGACAGATAGCGGGATTTACCCACGTTTTGCGAGTAAATGTTACGGCTATCTACGATAACCCGTGGACACGAAAACCTCGACCAAGTGCAGCTAGGTTGAAAAAAGAAAAAGACAGTTTTCTCACTTGCACAATGAAACGTTCTTTTTTTTTGCTTCCAGAAGATGCACGGATGGTTTGCAAGGGAGCGTCTTTTTTTCACTATGCGCCAGGCACTGGGGTGTGACACATCGGTAAACGTAATATTGAAAGCGAAGCTCGTGTGGATGAATCGCCGGTCATGTGTGCCTCGCTAACACTACCTATATCAACGTCATGAGCGAACCAGTTAGAGATTTCCTCTAGTTCGAAATCGGAGTCTTCATTGCGACGGGAATATCTACAAAGTACTTCACGACATGTGACCTAATTAGGCCAGTGAAACAAAAATTGCGGTAGCTGCCTGCAGGTTGGTGGCTTTGAGGGCAAGGGGTGTACTATGACGCACGCGCACACTGTGGAAATTGATGACGTCAGAGAAAAGCTGAATGCGGCAACCTCGAGACAACGTAGCCGGGCGTCTTCGCTCACGCTCTTTTACGACTTGACTTTTTTCTGGTCGACGTCTGTTGCTTAGTTTTCCTGTTTCTATTTTCAAGACTCCTCCTTCGGCAATAGCAGCTTTACTAACAAAAAAAAAAGATAACCTGGTATCAAGGCCCAATTAGCAATGGAGTTCGACCTAACCTACCTCGAATTAAGGTCTCTTAGTTTTATTTACGAGGCGGGCGGTGCGAGATACCGAACCATTCCAGGAATAGGTGTCATTCAATGGCCTGCCACCTATGCACTTATACTTACTTTGTACTTTCGGTGTACGGCCGTTTCGTAACGACCTCAATTAAGGTGTTCAGGATCGTCCGCCTCGAACAAGAGGTTCCCTTCTTTGCGTAACACCCTTACAGACGTCGCCGAAGGCATGTGTAGCAGTCTCTAGTAACACGATCTCCCCTAGTATATCTTGCTATTCGAGTCAGTGAGAAGCTCGCATTGTGTCTGCCCACGAAGGCGGCATTCGCACCCACCCTCCCAACATCTTGTACGTTCCGATCGCAGTATTTCACGTCGCCTTGTTTCCATTGTTACCTGCAGTGCTTCGCTGTCTCTATTTCTGGTCACTTATTCTCAACATATATGGTGAGTGGGTGGTTCAATACAGCGCGGAGTAGCGCGAGTCTTGTCGAGCAGAAACCATGCTGTGTCCTGATGCCATGTGACTCGCGCCTTATGCTTCACGACGTCATGACAACGCGAGTTAGGCATGCTCAGAAACGAAACATAGCCCATTGCGTAAAGAAGATAGGGTATAATCGGAGATAGTAAAACTGTTCATAAAAAGCTTGTAAAATACGTTACTAACTACTTTTGGGAAGCTTTTGTAGGTGTAATGAATTACGTTACATATTGCAGCTGGCCGAAAGGACTCGTGGGGAGTGTTTCGAACCAAACGCACAAACAAGGAGACAAAGAAAAACGACGCGTCGTTGGACAACGAGGTCTAGTAGATGGTATGGAGGTCTATTGCGTCTTTTTCAGTGCGTTTCCTTCCTGCGTCTTTGTCAGTGCGCTTGGCTAGGAATGCTCCACGAGGTGTGCCACCAACCAACTCCGGCAAGCGTTGTTATCACGAAATTAACCATTATACATTGACTTAACTTTGTAAAAGTAATTAGGTTCAATTTAAATTGCTTTAACACAATTCCTGCACAACACGTGTGCACTTACATCACATATACATTTATATCTTAAAAACAGTTGTTCATCTTAGAACGCTTGAATTTGGGCCCTCTAATCGAATTGTCTCTTATTGCTTCTTCTTTTCCTGATAGGTATTTTTATGCTACAACAGAAGCGGACGTGGCACCATGTGAGTGTTTGAGCGATGTAAGCTCTAAATCAAAGTTTCCATCGGTTTACTGGCTTGAAGTAATCCATCACATTACTCATGAGGCAAAAGGAATTTAGTTACTGTAAATTCATTTATGCGATGTCTCAGTGTAGGACCATTATTTATGTGACTATTAATCTCACCTATATTATTTATGAGGATGATGGGTTTCGATTCAGGAGAGAAGGGGGAGTATCTGATAAACTGTAATAATGAAAATATTCGAGGTTTTACGTCCCCAAAAGTACGATATGATCATAAGAGGCGCTGTAGTGGAAATGCACAGTTAGGCAGAGGGATCAAATTCTACAATGAGCAGGCACGCTGCATAATTACAGCTGACGCAAGCCGGTGGTAATAGGAGACCCCTGGAAACATTCCTCTTGAAGTGGACATAAAAAAAGGAGGGGATTACGGCAACAATGCAAAGGCGCCGTCCAGGAACCATGTTTAGTAGCGTGCATACATTACAAGTCATCACGAAACGTCAAGTCGCTAATATTGTGTGATAAAGGATTCGTAGTACGCGTATATAAAGTGTCCTGTAGGCTAAAGCAGATGTTAAAGAAAACTAAGGCAGCCAGTCCTGAAATGAAGCAGTTCTAGTGCAAAATACTTTGCTTGTAAAGGCTTAACGCTTGAAAAACATAAAGAGTTAAACTGAAGATCGTTCAGAGGTGCCGGCCGAAGATGGGGTTTTCGACACCTCTTCGCGAATCGAAATCAGGCTTCCTAAACTGGGCTTCTTAAACTTCAACGAAGTTATTTTTCCGAAATGTCACTGATGATCTTAATATTTCACCAGTTATTACTCAATTTTAAAGCTCTTCACAGAAGTGGAGAGGCTGACAACTTCTATAGATCCCTAACCTTTTTTGGCAATTATCTCGATTTAATTTTATCTTTTGTATTAGAGTACAGTCTTTTCATGCAGGGTTACCATTTATTCACAAATGATAAGCGTTATGGCAGCGTCCCCTCTAGATCATACTTCATATTTTTTATTGCGACATATACATCGCCCTAAGGCATAATAATTTTTTTTGTTGATGTGTGATAGGTGTGCGCCGTTAGGCCAGGAAGGAAGGAAGGAAGGAAAAAAAGAGGGAAAAGAAAGGCAGGGAGGTTAGCCAGCCTATAGTCAGCCGGTTTGCTACCCTGCGCATGGGAGAGGGATGGGGGAGATGAAAGAAAGCAGAGAGGGAAGAGAGAAACACAGCACATTCGGCAGCACATGCGCGCACACTCAGTCATAGTCCAGTCTTGTCTTTCGCGGTGTGTGACATTGCTGTTACAGTCGCTTGTTCAAGTCGGTGTCGCGTAGGAATTTCAACAGAGCTTTCGTCGCCTTCTGTTGCAATGTCTTCTCTCGGGCACTTGACAGAATAGTGTTCACAGACATTTGGCTGTTGTCGATGCGCGCAAAAGCGGATGCCAGTGACTGTTAGGCCAGTGTTGCGCATGAAGTGAAGGAGTGTTTTGTGGAATGTGTGCTCAGCAGTCATAACTGATTGTATCCCTGTATAGTGAAGGCCAGTTCGCAGGAGGTAAAGGGAACGTTCCGACTGCGGCCCTTGGAATACTTACATAAGCATAGGTCGGTGAACTCGCTCTTGAGTAGACTCACTCGGACTCAAATCGAGCAGTGAGTCCGAGTCCTAATGAGCCTGGGTGAGTAATATTTGGTGAGACTGAGTCCGAGTCAGAACAAAGCAGAAAATAAAATTCTTCGGCGAGTCCGGGTGAGTTCCAGGTCATATTGTCCACCTATGCATATAAGATCGCATTTAAGTTTTCAATTTGACTATCATAAAAGCAGATGTTTGGCACTGTCTAGATTGTACGACCAATTTGTACTACCTATATTTTTTCCTTGATGCCTTCAAAGCATAGCTGTTCGCAGCTGTGGTTTTTTCTTAGGAGAAAGAGAATGGATGGATGGATTGATTGATGTGGCTGTACCCTTTAGATCGGGCGGTGGCTCACGCCACCAAGCCGTGATACTTAGTGAAACAAAAGCTAGATTTATTTATTTTTTTGCTAGCCACAGGGGCCTGTGTTCCTTTTCTGCTGTTTCGATGCACTGCGTCACGGAGAACAGATTGTCTTCCAACCTCCTGTGTTTCCGAAACCCATTCTGCAGTTCCTCCAGCACTCCCTCATCCTCTATCTATGCCTGTAGTCTTTCCTTTATAATCTGCATCGCCAGCCTGTAGACCACTGATGTCACTGTTATAGGACGGTAGTTGTTTATGTCAGCTTTGTCCCCCTTTTCTTTATAGATCATGCTCATCCTGATAAGTTTTCATCCATCGGGAACTTCACCATCGATTATTATTTTGCTCACTGCCTCTCTCAAAGCCTGCTTAGACTTCGGACCTAATGTCTTTATCAGCATAATTGGAATGCCATCTGGGCCTGTTGATGTACTACTAGGAACCCTTTTCTCAGCCCTTTCCCACTCTCGTTGTGAAAATGGAGCCATTGCGTAACTTGAATCATCCTTGTCTATTGTGGTGCATAAAGCACTTCTATGTTGAAATTTTCTGTGACCATTGTTCTTATATATTCAATAGCTTCATCCCCTTCTAGCTTAGCACCTTGAGCTGTACTTATAAACATCTGCTCTACACTTGTCTCTCTTTTTAGGGAGTTTAGATGGTTCCAAAATTTTGCAGCTGCCTTTCTATCTTTTTATGTAGAGGGTAATTTCACACCAGTGCCCTCTAACTCAGGCACTCAACGAAAAAATAAATGTAACGAAAGACAATGCAACGTTTCGAGGAATGGATGTATGCTGGGGCTTTCTTTGTAACAGGGTGGTGATCTGCTGTGCCATCAAGCTCAGTTAAATATTTAATTTCGGCCAAATGCTTTTTTCACTTCATCTAAAATCCTGTTCCTCAAGAAAAAAACTTATTACTTCAAGCATAACCTTGTGCGGCTTATTTTGTTGCAGCCTTAGTTTTCATATTATTTCATTATTTCATATTTGTCTGTTTTTTTTTCTAGTTTTCCGTCACAAATCCACCAGTCACTTCCTATACTGACCTCTACAGTGGGCAGTGATGCTCATATATAAAGCCCAAGAATTCACATAAGGTAATGCCCGAAGAGAAACACGGAGGTAATCCTCACATGCAATTAAAAACATGTTTTGTTTTCTTTGCCTTCAGAATTAAATGTAGCGCCCTCTGTGGTAGCTCCGTGGAACGAACCAGCGAGACTTCACTGGACATCAGAGAAAGAAAACGTGTAGTCGTTTCACTCCAAGGAATGAACCTACGCGAGGCCATAGAGCTTTATGACAGTACTATAGAGAAAAATATGGCGCTACTTTCTATGAGATCTGCAAGGCATGGCGCTTAAGCCTGTATGCATTGAGTATAGCACATGTATTTGTCCAAGCTTTGTTGTTTCAACTCCGTGTGGACTACAGCGAAACTTGACGAATCACACTCCCGGATTTTTCTATGTTCACGGATTCAAATCATCCCAAAGGTTTGTACGGAGCCAATATTTTACCCCAAAGAAAAGCAAAAACATGACAATAAACTAGGCCACATGTGCATTCGAAGCCACGAGCGTGAGCACTATGGACGTCCCTGTACTACCCATCACTTTTGCGGTGGCTGAACGATAACAGTACCACAGTTCCCTCTAATGAGTATTATGGAAATTATGAGTGCTACCAGCTAATGCACCGCTTCCAAGAAACTATGAAACAGTGAAGGGCACCTCGCAGCGCCTGCTGAAGGAGCTCGTGCCAAGATAGTTCGCGCGCGGCCTCCGAGACTGGCGCGGGTAACGTGTGGTGCCGGTACCGATGATCAAGCCATCCCAATGCCATGAGGAGAGCGTACAACAGATAGCGGTAAGACAGCTAGAAGAGCTTTGCTGATTGGACACTGAGCTTGGGTTAAGGTCGCCATCCCACGGAATGATAAAAAGTCAACAAGTAGATCACGGTACGACCGCAATAGAAAAGGTGCGTTGCCAGAGTCAATCTCGGAGGCTGTGGTTTGCGTCACAGCAGCTATACGTACTGTCGGTGACGAGCACGAGGACACCCCTGGGAGCCGCTCCGAACGGTTGACGCAGAGTCTGCCGAATCAGCGTCGTCGTCCGGACCATCCTCGGTTCACCCGTGGGCACTTCGACGAGTTCGGCGATTCCCGCCCCTTCGGAACGGCTTGAAGTCGCCTGCGTATAGAAGCACGAACTTCGACACCGGGAAAAGTAAAAGGAAGCGCACCCTTCGAACGTGTTGGTTAACACTGTTGTGTTCTGCCCGTTGTCTTACGTATCCGTTTTAGGCCAGGTGTCTGAAAGCGTCTGTATACATGGAACACACATGTGGCCGCAGGGCGATGTTTCGATACAGAGCAACAAATAATGCCGGAGGGTGAAAAAAGCATTCAAATTAGCAGCTAATAAATTAGGAACAATGGAATGCATTTGTGCTTTTTGTGAATGCGCAGGATCTGCTGCACGAATCTATGCCATATTCTACGGCGTGAACGTGCGCTTTGTTTGACTGTAATACTGCTCTTTTTTACCTCACCCCCCTACAATAATGCCCACTTCGGCGATATAGCTTGCACTAATAATTAAATGAAAAAATAAATATCAAACTACGCATATGAATAAAGTTGTCTAGTTCTTGAGATGATGCAACCGCTTTTAGGTGAAAATGAATCAGACAGATATTTAAATCTTGGAGAACATAACGTAAGTTATCCGTCGTTATTAGTTCACCAATTAATGCTGTATAGAGGGAAAAAATGGGTTCGTGAAAAACACCCCCCTGAGTGAGGCTGCTTCTTCGTCCGTTTTAATTCGTGTCAATGTTGGTCATGATTACCCAGTACAGTTAAAAACAAGAAATGCTCTCCCCTATGCTTTTCGCAGCCTAATTGTAGGTTGACTTCATTTGGTTATATATAACAAAGGAGCAATGCCTAAAAATTTTTTCTTCTTTTCCTTTTATATGGACTAGGCGTACACCATGAGGATACGGCGTTCGTCATTCACACTGAAGTATTTATAGAACGCTTATGGGCTTACGATTAATATTTTAAAATTAAGGGGTGTACAATGGCGACAGATGATTTCAACACGAATACAAGTACATCGCACAATCGGATGGATTAAAGGGGCACTGGCACAGAATTTCGCAGCCGAGATGACCCGTGGGGTCGATTTCCAGGAACATTATCTGCAAAATATCAACAGTGAATATAACTCAGAAGGTGTTTTAAAAATTTTTCGAAATTTGCGTGAGCCCTCGACTCCATCGTGCCATTGACACCCTCGAAGGGGACCCTTTGGGGACCCCTTCTGTCACGTCACCACGCTGCAGTCAACAAAAAAATTATGATGACGTCATAGTCACCATTTTTCTTTTGCCGCATTTGTTACCGAAGTCTCTATTTCTCGGCGGAATGAAGTTTCTATCACTCACTCACTCACTCACTCACTCACTCACTCACTCACTCACTCACTCACTCACTCTATCTCCAACCCAGATAGTATCAAACTACTTATTTGGGTTGCAAATTATCGCCACTTATCTCTGCGTTCCCGTCTCGATAAAGCGGGACAAACTGAACAAATGCGACAGCACTAATGAAGAAAACGGGCAGTGAACTGCGTGGAGATTCCCGATACTCTCTTAGCATTCCCTTCAGAAACCTTTCACGAAATGGCCTTTCAGCCACGCTCGGGATCATCACACAGAGTTGCCGGATGCGTCTTCTTCGATTTATCTTCTGCCCCGGATCTTGACAAATTCCTCTCGGCAAAGTGCCGGCTTGACCAGCAAGTTCGAATGACCGGCCTTTAAAGAACAGTCTGGTTAAGTCCCGAAATGAAAGACACGAGAGACAAAAAAACCAACTAAACAAAAAGAAAACAAAGATTACGTGAGGGTGACGCGTGGCTCGAGAAAGGACTGCGGCATCCATGAAGCGTTAAGATTGATCTTTGGGCATTCGGATGTGAGAGTGGCACACGTACTGACGCTGTTGGTCAGCTCGCACTCAACTGCGAGCCATCTTCTCTTAAGATACTCGCGTCCGTACTATACCTCCATCGGTGCCCTGGAACGTTGCCAGCTGTGGCCTCTACCCATCACACCCTCTCATGCTGAGAGAGTGTGAGGAGGGAGAGGCCACGGCTTGATTTCTAGTGATGACTTAGCCACGTCACGTTACCGTATGTGTGAGATGTGACGTCCTGACTGACGACTTCACAGATGTCTGAAATGGATGTGGTGACTAATTTGACGCCATGATTGATGACGATGTCATCAAGCGGTACTCTGTGATTTTGTTGTCTCCAATCATTCGTGTCGACGCCAACACCGATAGTTTCTTGTTTTATGGAGCACGTAAGGCTGTTGGCTTTGAATTATGGCTGCTTACTTGTGAACCCCTCCCACAAAGTTCGTACGGGTTTGCCGGAGCGTGTGAAATAATTGCTCTTTACACTAGTTTCTACTTATTATATAGCAGTAAATTTATTATTGACGTACGTTATGTCCACACTCTCGTATACAATCATTAGTACATACTTATTTCTTATCAATGTTTCCCAACGCTGAGCCAAGGTATCCCAATGGAGCGTGCGGAGTCGTGCACCTCGGGATTACCATTAAAACTTTGCATTCGTCCACCAACCAAATATTTCGGAGAACTCACACCATTGCCTGCCAGGTTCGTTCGTGAGATAGCAAACACTGTACTCGTACCGAGAAACGAAACAATCTCCCCCCACGAAAGTAATGTCGCTATCGAAAGACAGGCGTACTCCAAGAAACAAGCAATGAGCATTACACATATCCGTGAAAGGGGCCCAGCTGTACGAAAACGAGGGCCGAAAGAGGGTCCCGCTAATGTTGTCGTAGAGTTTCCATTTGCGACGCCCTTCCTCTCCCCCCTCCACCAAAGATGTGTCCACGGTCGCAGTCGCAAGTGTCATATATATACGCGCGGACGTGTCTCTCGACGTTCGCTATTAGGAGTTTTTTTTTCTTTTTTTCGCCAGCTATTATATCGCCTTTTCTTCGGTCGAGAAGAAACGACGACGAAGAGAATACGGCATCGATTACTAATCACTGCAGCCCGTTTTCGGAACAGCGCCCGCGTTCTTCCTCTGCATCGTTTTTCTGTTTCTTTTAACGTCGTCTTTTCGGAGGCCTTACCCGTCCCCACGTATGCTGCATCGAGCAAACATTTCTCAGCCGGCTGGCTCACGCATTAAGAAAGCCTGCATCGTTTTACTTGCGCCTCCTGACAGGAATATTGTATTAGGCTTATTTATAATCGATCGATAATTTGTTTAACGTGCCCGGGAACAACCATCAGGTCTTAGTTCAGGCGCACGCAAAGACAAAGCAATACAAATAAACAATACAATAGGTAGTCTTCAGAAAAATCAAAATAAGTTAAAAAGAACGGAAATGCACAGAAAAAAAGAAATCAGCGCGAAATGGCAAGAATGAAAAGACAAGAAGGGAATCATGGAAAGGGCGTGAAAAATCAAGGGGAATATACGCAATTATGCATAGAAACCTTCCTGAAAGACCAAAAGGGAAGAATATGTACATCGTGAAAAACTGTGTTAAGACAGTACCGAGCTGAGATTAAAACAATGACAGTTGACTGCGAAAAACATCAAGATTATGAAAGTTGACATTATATAGACTGTATATTCTGTGAGCAGTAGAGTGTTGAAAAAAGTTGGCACCTACATGGAATGGTCGATTCTCTATGATTAATTTACGCGGAATGCAAAAATTTATACAACTGAGAACCAAAGGGCAGAATATAAAAAATGCCAGCATATCCACGGGGCGAATAATGGAGAGTGGGACGAAGCATCCGTCCGTCCATTCGTTCTTGCTTCCGTCCATCCATGCGTCCGTCTGTGTGACAGTCCGTGCGTCCATCAGCCTGCCCGTGCGTGCGTCTGTGACCGTCCATGCGTCCGTCCATCCATGCAGCCATCCGTGCGTCCGTCCATGCATCTGTCTGTGTGTCCGTTCGTCCATGTAGTCAACGCTCCAAGTATCACCATCTCGAATCTTTTCATTATATATTCCCCATATAGAAGCACCGCCATCCAACGGACATTCCAAGGACTAAAGGAGAGGTGGCACACGCACACTTTCTTACGGCTTGCGCTTCGTGTCTACTTCCCACCTTTAACCACCTCGAGTTCAAGGTGCATACTAGTTCACTGTATTCATGACACTGTGGCCCAACGCTCGCTAAACCTTTCTAAAACCAAGGGGTTTACGTCCAGCGAGTATAACGTTGTAACCACTTCTTGTCAGATAGTGCTCAATGTACATGCCAATGGCTGCTAATGGGGAATGAGAGACAGGAGAATTTGGCTTTCAGTTAACGCGCATGCTGTGAATTTTTATTGTTCAACAACGCACAGGAGAAATCTCCCACCGGCACCACCTTGCAGGTCAAAGCGTAAGACATGTTACGTACTACGACGAGGGACGAACGGGTGCCGCTTTAAGGAGCTTCGCCCCTAATACCATGAACTTGTTTGTTAAGAAATGAGCTCAGCGTGATTTGGTCGGCAGTGAAGTTATGGCAACCATAATAATCTGGCAGTGTTAGAACGAGATCCAGAGTCATTTCTAGTAAAAAGATGGTTGTATATTCTTATGAATATTTTTCTGGACTCGCTCAATGACGTCAGTGCCAGATTTAGCAATGCCATTCCCGATCTCGGAAGCATATTCAAGTTGAGGAAGACATACTGTGGTGTACAATTTCTGGAAGGCTGTATAGAAGAACTGAATTCTTGAGAGATTCTGCAAACACAACCGAGAGAAGGGAGGCCTCGCGTCACAGTACATTTAGTGTCAGCAAAAAAATTTAGCATGCTATCAAAAAAAAAAAACCAAGCTCACTGAACTCGTAAACCTTTCATAGCGACGTGGTATTGACAGAGTATGGAAGTGACACGATGGAGGTTTTGTGAGGTATAGTTATGAACTTGCGTCTTAGAGGTATTCATGGAAAAGTTATTGTCACACCATTTAGAGAAAGAATACGAATATGACGGCAGAAAGTGACTGTTGTTAACTGAATGAATTATTATTATTATTGTAAAAGGGGTTTATTGAAGGACTCAGCAAGCGGGTGGTAGCTCTAAAGGAAGGCAGGTGAACCCAGATG